GCCCAGCCTGGCTAATAACCATAGATGGACTGATCCTCTATGATTATCTAGTTCTTTTTTGAACTCTGTTATATAGTCTTGGCCTTCACAACACCCTCTGGCAAAAGAGGGCCACAGGTTGATTGTGCGTCTTGGGGGGGGGGGGGTGAGAAAAGAAATAAACCCACAACCACCACACATGCTTTTTTGTTTTAACCTGCTGTCTATCAATTTCGTTTGGTGACCCCCTAGTTCTTGTGTTATGCTGGTTTTCCCAACAGATTCCCACGAAGTCCGAAGCCAGTAAAAGTGCTGGCGGCTATTGTTCCCTGCAGAGCCAGGACCCAGATCAGTTCAAGTAGATTAGACACTAGCAATAGTCAGTGCCCTGTGATCTAGATTGGTCACAGCAAGTTAGTTACCTGGTTCTAAGGCAGATGTACCAGTGCTAGAGGGCAGTACCTACTTTACCCCATCCATTAGAGTCTTACCAAGAGGTGGGTACTCCGAGAAGCTCTCCACACACATGGGTTTGCCAGGAATCATCTGCACAATGGCAGCATCCCCGGACTTCAGTGCCTTGGGATGGTCCTCCAGCTTCTTGCCAGACCTGCGGTCGATCTTCTCCTTCAGCTCCGCAAACTTGCAGGCGATGTGAGCAGTGTGGCAATCCAGCACTGGGGAGTAGCCAGCGGCGATCTTGCCTGGGTGGTTCAGGATGATGACCTGCATGGGAGGAGATGGTTAGGAAGCCTGAATGAGCAGCAGAACATTCTCCTGCTTATTTGTTCTTGGGGAAACCCTTAGATCCCTGCATAGCCCTCCCATCAGGATTAAGCTTTTTAGAAGCCATCTTAGAATCTGGTGTAGTTAAGTGACAGGACCAATTCACCTTGATTTTTGCAGGCCTAGTTCTGTTGGCACAGGCACCATCTAGCTTCCCAGGGCTGAGAAGACGAATATCCACATTACCTAGTGGTAGCAAACTTGAACTGTGAGAAGCTTGGCCCTGTCCAGAAAAGGTTACAGTCCACCTGGTACAATTGGAGAGGAATAGATAAAAAGCTAATGCGGTCTTGGGATGCATTAGGTGAGGTATTTCCAGTAGAGATAAGGAGGTGTTAGTACCGTTCTACAAGGCACTGGTGAGACCTCATCTGGAATACCGTGTGCAGTTCTGGTCTCCCATGTTTAAGAAGGATGAATTCAAACTGGAACAAGTACAGAGAAGGGCTACTAGGATGATCCGAGGAATGGAAAACCTGTCTTATGAAAGGAGACTCAAGGAGCTTGGCTTGTTTAGTCTAACCAAAAGAAGGCAGATTTTATATAGATATAAATCTCATATCAGAGGGATAAATACCAGGGAGGGAGAGGAATTATTTAAGCTCAGTACAAATGTGGATACAACGAATGGGTATAAACTGGCCATCAGGAAGTTCTGACTTGAAATTAGATGAAGGTTTCACTCCTCTGGTGGTTCAAAGTTCTGAACAGCCTTCCAAGGGAAGCCATGGGGGCAAAAGACATATCTTGCTTCAAGTCTAAGTTTATGGAGGGGATGGTATGATGGAATAGCCTAATTTTGGCAATTAATTGATTGAACTTTGTCTATTAGCTGTAAATATGACCAGTGGCCTGGGATGGGATCCCAGTTACTACAGAGAATTCTTTCCTGGGTGCCTGGCTGGCGAGTCTTGCCCACGTGCTCAGGGTTTAGCTGATCACCATATTTGGGGTCAGGAAGGAATTTTCTTCTAGGGCAGATTGGCAGAGGCCCTGAGGGGTTTTGGCCTTCCTCTGCAGCGTGGGCCACGGGTCACTTGCTGGAGGATTCTCTGCACCTTGAAGTCTTTAAACCATGATTTGAGGACTTCAGTAGCTCAGACATAGGTTAGGCGTTTGTTGCAGGCAGGGCCGGCTCCAGGCACCAGCCTGGCAAGCAGGTGCTTGGGGCAACTGCTCCGGACAGGGGCAGCACGTCCAGGTATTCGGCAGCAATTTGGCGGACGGTCCCTCACTCCCGCTTGGAGTGAAGGACCTCCCACAAAATTGCCGCTGCAGATCGCGACTTTTTTGGCTGCTTGGGGCGGCCAAAACCCTGGAGCCGGCCCTGGTTGCAGGAGTGGGTGGGTGAGATTCTGTGTCCTGCGTTGTGCAGGAGATCAGACTAGACGATCATATTGGTCCCTTCTGACCTTAAAGTCTATGGGTCCTACAGTAACCGTTCTTAACATGACCAGCTGTCACAGCAGGCCTTCTCCGGGTGTCTCTCTCAAAGCAATCTGTTTGTTAGGGGTAGCCACCATGCAGAGAACAGTAGAGGGAGAGCAGTTTCCAGTAATAGCTCTAGCCAACTTCAGATGGTTCTTGGATTATTTTTTAGCAGCTACAGGTAGAAAGCCATTGTTCAGAAGCCTCCTGCCATGAAGGTGTGCTGGCACTACAAGACTAATGGCACCAATGATAGTGGCAAAATGGATATGGGGTGGGAAGGAGAAGAGCTAGTGGTTATGTGGTTACTGGTGCAAGGTCCTGCAGGGCAGGGTGGAAGAGAATAAACTTAGGGGCAAGAGATACACACAAAACCAAACCAAACCACCCACCTTCCCTTTTCAGTTCACAGGAAAAAGGGGGCAGGGGGATTAGCCCCAGACTTGCTAATTTGACCCAAGGGTATGGCACCAATTACTCTTGTGCAGGCTGGGAGAGCAGTTTGTCCTCCATGCAGACACCTCCATGCGAATAGAGTGGCTGAAGCAATTGTACAGGCATATGGTAGCCTTGGAAAGCTCAGTGCTTCTTTGCGGACTGGCCTAGCATGAGATACAGCCTCCTATGACCTTCCACCCAGGACTGACTCCAAATCACTCAAGTCCTGTTGTTTTCACATCCCTGACCTGAGAGGTGAAGCTGCCGGCCTCCATGGGAGGGTCGTTCTTGCTGTCTCCAGCCACGTTCCCACGCCGGATGTCTTTCACAGACACGTTCTTCACGTTGAACCCAATGTTGTCACCCGGCAGCGCCTCTGCCAGAGCCTCATGGTGCATTTCCACCGACTTCACCTCCGTGGTAATGTTGGTGGGGGCAAAAGTCACAACCATGCCGGCCTTCATGAAGCCAGTCTCCACACGGCCCACTGGGACCGTTCCGATTCCTGGGGAACGGAGACAGTGGCATCAGTTGGGTGGCCTAGACAAGGAGCTACCATGCCCAGTGAGCACCTCCCTCCCACACTCACCACCAATCTTGTAGACATCCTGCAGGGGCAGACGGAGTGGCTTGTTAATTGGGCGGGAAGGAGGGATAATGGAATCGAGAGCTTCCATGAGAGTGGTGCCTGCAGCATTCCCATCCTTCCTAGTGATCTTCCAGCCTTTGAACCAAGGCATCTACAACAGACAGGAGGCAGGACTGAAGCTAGGCAGGGCCTGAGAGTGCCAGGTGTCTCCTAGGAGGTATTTGTGCCCACCCCGCTCTAAACTGCCTCTCCCAGTGGGGGGAGAGGGGGAGGAGAAGAGAAAGTCTGGAAGTTAATATTGAATGTACCCTGAAGAAATAAAGCTATGTGAGCCCCCAGATCCCAACCATGCTCCACTTAGATCCCTGGCTGAAAGTGGGGTTCCCCCATCCATTCTCCCATGCCCATAGGTTCTGGGCAGCTTCCCCAGCCCATCATTCCATCCCGGCACTCAGATCTGGCCTCCATGAGGCATACAGAAACAGGGATGCTACTCACATTGGCGCTGGCCTCCAGCATGTTGTCCCCATGCCAACCAGAGATGGGCACGAAAGCCACAGACGCTGGGTTGTAGCCGATCTTCTTGATGTAGGTGCTCACTTCCTTGGTGATCTCCTGGTAGCGCTTGCCACTGTAAGGGGGCTCCGTGGAGTCTATTTTGTTCACCCCAACGATGAGCTGCTTCACCCCCAGCGTGTAGGCCAGCAGGGCATGCTCCCGGGTCTGCCCGTTCTTAGAGATGCCAGCTTCAAACTCTCCCACCCCGGCCGCCACAATCAGCACCGCACAGTCAGCCTGGGGTAGGGAGGGGACACAGTATAAGACATGCCACAGATCTAGCTGCTTAGGCACCCCATCACCTTCAGCCTGATCAGGGCCAGTCCGTACCTGCGAGGTGCCGGTGATCATGTTCTTGATGAAGTCTCTGTGGCCAGGGGCATCGATGATGGTGATGTAGTACTTGGTGGTCTCGAACTTCCACAGGGAGATGTCAATGGTGATTCCACGCTCCCGCTCGGCCTTCAGCTTATCCAGCACCCAGGCGTATTTGAAGGATCCCTTGCCCATCTGTGAGGGAGGTGGCACCAGTTACACTAGGTGTTTAGGGGTGGGAACAAGTAGTCACTAGGGAACAGCTTCCATCTTCCCCTCAACATAAGATTGCTTTAACTGGGGTGCTGTTTACAAGTGGGATTCCAGTGGGTTTTAGAATGGCCATTAACAAACAATTGTCGTCAGACCCCTCCCCAGTCTACAGTCAACGATTCCATTGATAGTTATACAATTTGGTGGCAGGGGCCTTGCAAAAGGGAATGTTAGAGACACATTTACCCTAAGTGTGTCTTTATCAGAATAGTTACACTGATGCAAGCTTCCTTAGTGTAGCCAGCGCCTTGGAGTGGCAGATGTGCTAGTGCACCCCAAAAACATGGCACCCCTCCCCCTCCATCCCCAAACTCAGAGGTTTAGATTTCATGGCTTTAAGAGTCACAACGTATGCAGTGACCGAGCCACACATCTGACAGCAACTCCACACAACCCCATAGCTTGAGTTAAAGGCACTCCTGAGCCAGTCTGCTTGGCACCATTGTCCCAACCTCAGCCGCCTCCTTTTCGAACTTCTCGATGGTTCTCTTGTCGATGCCCCCGCACTTATAGATGAGGTGCCCGGTGGTGGTGGATTTCCCGGAGTCCACATGGCCGATCACCACGATGTTGATGTGGATTTTCTCTTTCCCCATGGTGCTGGTTTCTATGACAGAGAGGGCTTTAGACAGGCTCCCTGCCCCCACATAGCCCCTCTCCCCCCAGGACCATGCTCAGCTCTGTCCCACCCAGAGCCACCTCAAGCTAGTAAGGATGTAGGTTTATTGCCAAGTACAGGTTTAATTGGGGACCAGGTTTCTAACTGAACAAGGAAGGTAGAGTGAGCAGAGTTGCTGGGAGGTCACTGGTCCCCACAAACATAGGTACCAGAGGCAATTAGGCTAGGAGAGTTTTTGATCACTGACCAGGCCACCTGAGCATTGTTGGCTACAAGACAGCTCCTGGAGGAAGTTGTATCACACACACCTCTGAATGGTCACCCTACTGGTGTGTGTGTGTGTGTGTAATAGAAGCCTATATAAGAAAGAGACCCCAAAATCAGGACTGTCCCTATAAAATAGGAACATCTGGTCACCCTACCCAGCAGCAACCAGGCCCTCTGAACTGCCAAGTAGCCAGCACAGAATGCCATCTAGCAAGGGATCCTGCAAGAACAGTAGCCTCCTGTGACTGCCCTTCAGCCCAATTCACAGCACCTGCATCATTGTGGGAGGGCCCCTGTCTGAGCTCCGGGCAGTGCCAGTACAGGAGAGCTAAGAGGGGAGGGGTGAAGGGAACAGCTGTAGTCCCTCACTCAGGAAGTCAATGAGCAGGTGTCAGGCCACAATTAGCCTGTTCCTAGCCCAGACGGGCTACTAGGTCTGGGAAGAAAGCACCCTCCTGCCAGAGGTATCCTAGCAGGTACTTCCCTCTCCCCACCCACGGGAGAGTGGAAATCGCCCATCTCTAGCCCGTGGAGGAGGGAAAAGCCCAGGATCCCAGGGGAGCTCAGAACTGGACATGGACAAGCCCAGCTATGAGCCCCAAGCACAGCAGAGACACAACCCCTACAGGGCCGGTACTTACCTGAGTCACAGCCCAGGGAGAACAGCAGCTACGCTACTCAAGCGGCCCCTCCCAGTCCATTTAAACCTGGCCCGGGAGCGGGTACCAACCTGACCACGCCCCCTTCCGAATGCCCAGCACCAATCATTGACTCCGGGCTGGTTAGCTACGCCCCCTTGGAGCCACATGGAGAGAAACACGTGGAAGGGATAAACAAGGCAGATCCCTCCCCTTCACCTACTGTCAGGGTGCTAGGGAGCCAGCAGGGGGCCCCGGGTTTGGGGAGGGGCTGAGAGGTGAATAAACGATCAGCAGAGGGTTGAATACCAATTAACGGAGATAAAGGCTAATGGGAGCACAGTCAGGGCTGAAATCAACAGAGCCTGACTGGTCTGTAAAGCCAGAGAAAGATACATAATGGGGTCTAATCAATATAGGGTAATAAAGAGAGAGGATGAGAAAATGAGGAAGAATAGTAAATAGCTATGGTTATATAAATAAATACAAATAAATTATAATAATAAAGAATATTCCAGAATAATAACAGGCCAGTAAGGACTCAGATAGGTGAAGAAATCAACAGAGATAAATCAATAGAGAAAGAAGGAGAAAGAATGGGGTGTAATAAACAGCTTCAGACCCTGATCCTGCAAAAAGCAACAGAGGGTCCTATGGCACCTTTAAGACTAACAGAAGTATTGGGAGCATCTGTTAGTCTTAAAGGTGCCACAGGACCCTCTGTTGCTTTTTACAGATTCAGACTAACACGGCTACCCCTCTGATACTTGATCCTGCAAACTCATCCATGCATCCCAGGGGGCACCATTGACTTTATTGGGTCTTCACAGGGGCCTGCCTATGCAGAGGGCCCCCCTATTTCAGTTTTTACTGATTTGAGAAGCCCCATGAACCTGCTTCTGAAAGCTGTTCCCTAGGGGTGCTGGAGTGTCTGCTTGCATGGAGCAGCTTGCAGGGTCAAGGCCAGTGGGCTTCTTGTGAATAAGGGCTGCAGGACTGGGCCCTTTGACTTCAGGCCAGGGATTCTTTGTAGTGGCTTGGCATGTCTTTCCCATTCTACATATGCAAAGATCTATAAGTAGTTAGCCATGATCATAAATAAACTCAGACTAATAAAGGCTATAGAATAACAATAAACACATACATACCTAGGCTCAGATTCACAAAGGTATTTAGGTGCCTCACTCCTAATAGCCATGAACCATCTAAATACCTTTGAGGATCTGGGCCCTAACTCGCTGAGCTTTGTACTGTTCCTCCAAGCATGAGATCACTGCTAACACAGCCAGCTGCTGTTCCATGGGGCCCTCAGTTCTCCAGGGCCCTCAGCGGAGGTAGTGTAGTTTTCATGATCTTGGCAGGAAGTATGAAGGCCTCTGCTTCATGTAGGACCCAGTGTGATCTGAGGCTAGCTGTGAAAGAGACAGATACAGGGAAATTAAGTTTAGTCCCTTAGCACTAATTGTGTTAGGCAGAGTATCAGAGGGGGAGCCGTGTTAGTCTGAATCTGTAAAAAGCAACAGAGGGTCCTGTGGCACCTTTAAGACTAACAGAAGTACTGGAGCATAAGCTTTCGTGGGTGAATGCCCACTTCGTCAGACACTTTTTCATAGTCATTGGCAGACACATAACACTGAAATCAGTTGCCAAGCAGTGTTAGGAAACATACCATAGTGTTACTCCAGAGAACAGGCTTGCTTTATTACTGACCACTTATAACTGGCTCCAGAGGTGCTATTAGTTTGCAGCTATTTCCCCTTTGGCTAGACTTGTCACAGATTTTATACCAGCTCAGCAGAGAGGTGTGTGCTCTGTATATGGATAGGAAACCTTCTGTGAACACAGAGGTGCCGGTGTTCCAGTAGGGGGTGCTCTTCCCTTTAAGAAAGTACTAAAACAATCGCTAAATTGCCATCGTTAAACAAGTGGGGGCAAATGCTAGATATATTGCCACTTACCGTACCTCATTTTGGACTGGGTGGTTGTGAGTTTGGGAGAAATGATCCCATATGGAAAGAAAGAGAATGAGGGGCCTGGTTGGGCAAGTCTGTGCCTCGCTTCTCTGTGCCTCGGTTTCCCCATCCACCTTTTTAAAGTGCTTTGAGATCTATGGATGAAAACTTTCCCCCATTTTTAACCCTGGTGTCCTGGCCAACTTCCAGTGTGGGTAAATATACTCTCAACTCTCCTGCCAATTTCAGATAGAAACTTACTTTCCTAGCACATGGCACTTTCTGTAGACTATACAGCAGCAATTAGCCAATACCTGGAGAAATACCAATATCTCATTAGAAGATTGCTGGGAATGGGCAACAGGGGATGGATCACTTGCTGATTCCCTGTTCTGTTCATTCCCTCTGGCGCACCTGGTATTGGCCAATGTCGGAAGACAGGATACTGGCTAGATGGACCTTTAGTCTGACCCAGTCTGGCCGTTCTTATCTTCTTATGATTTTGCTAAGATGCTTGACATAAAAATGCCTTTGCCCACCCCTGTCCTGGCCTCACAACACCAGCTTGGCCACCCACAGGTCAAAACTGGAGCTACTGTGAGCAATACCAGGGGGTTGATTGCGGCTCAGGGCTCTTTCCCTGTAGGTTGATGGTGTGACTCCAGCATTCCAGGAGTTCCTGAATTTTGTTACCATGGCCATTCAGTGGCTCATGTCAGACAAGTGGCTCGCTCCAGCCCCAGTGATCAGGTGTTGTTCAAGATGGGACCAAATCCCAATGTTTTATCTCTGTGAAGGGCAGAACCAGTGCTCTGGATCCAAATATTCATAAATCTGGGCCTGTAGCCAAGTGCCATGAGGTTCAGATTTGGCCCATTATACAGAGATATTCTAGCAGCAATCTGAGCCTAGATCCAAGTCGGTACCAGGAGGCTGCTCCCAGGCCTAACTCAACAAACAGAGTGACCCCCGAATGTGGAGAAGGCACGGTCCTCTTTAGCAGCGCTGCAGGGGGTATCCCAAAGCCTGGAGTTGCTGGAGGAAGATTAATCTCTTCCCTACGTCTCACACACACACACACAGTTGCTCTGGCAATTGCTATACATTAGAGAGAGACATTGCAGGGGGGCTCCAGTGGTCTGCTTGAGAGAGACAGGGGAGAGTGGTTGCTAGTGGCAGTGGGGAAGCAAGAGAAGGGCTGATAAACTCTCTAATCACATCAAAGGGGGAGATTAGCTTCAAATAGAGCCCATTCCTTGCTTTTCACAACCCTGCATGCACCTCTCCCCACCACTCATGAACAAAGCCTTGTTAAAATGAACCAGCCCCTGCCCACAGTCACTTTGCAGGCACTCCCTGGCCAAGGAAGTGCTGTGGCTTTTAACCCCTTGGGTCATAAACCTGAAGCCGTTTAAATGAATGTTTTCTGGAGAATCCAAGTTTCAAATTAAACAAAGGTCCCTTCAGCCTGTGATTGAGCCAGAGGTCTTGGAAGACACTCAGAGAAGTGTGAAATGCCCCATTCACCTCCACTGGGTATGAACTTTCTCACCTAACTAGCATCATCCAGAAGTGGCAGCAGAGTTAACTCCTTCCGTGCTGGTCACCTCGCTAATGTGCAGCTCCAGGGTGAGTACATGCCTGCCTAATGCATTGTTCTATGGAAAGCCTGCAAGGTGCAAAGCTGTAAGTGCCTGGCTGTTCCATGAGCGATTTGATTTTGGGGATTTCAGCCTGGCACTGCCCCTTGCCCCTCCCCAGGAGACAGCAAAGCCCTAGTTTTGTGCAGGGGGGGGGGGGTGTTCCCTAGCCAATATTAAACCACTGTTGCGCCATTGTTTACGCTATTAGGCTACCTAGCCAGTCTCCCCCACTCTCCCCCATCGTCCCCCTGCTGCGAGTCCCCCCTCTGCACACACACCCTCTTTTTGCCTCACAGTATCTCAGATCCCAGCTGGGTGGGACCTAACCTTTGGGTCAGTGGTTTGAGTCTGGCTCAGGGCAGTGGCAGACATAAGCGTTGTGGCTGTACAGTGCCTTTGGAATGGGTTCTGGGAAATGTGCTGTCCGGGGGTCTCGGTACATTTCTCAGCAGACAGGGACCCGTATCGCAGTTCACCTCCTCCCTCTTCAGAGGGGCCAACGACTGAATGGGCCATGGAGAGGAAAAGATGATCGGGTGCCTGGGATTCGCCAGACCCTGCTCTGCCACAGAACTCCGGTGTGACCTTGGGCAAGTCACATCGTTTCTCGCTGCCTCAGTTCCCTGCCTGTACAACGGCATGACAGCAGTTCTCAGATACTACAAAAATGGGAGCCATACAAGTGCCTAATATAGATGGCTAGAGGCCAAGCCTGAAGTGTGGGGAAGCTTGCCTGGCCATTGTTCTGCCTGTGCTGGAGATAAACAGGACTTCAATCTCTGCTCCTAATTTTTACAGGGGTATATGGTAAAGGATACATGCAGGGCCCTCATCAGTCTCCTCCCCATCTCTGACCTGGCCCCTCACTTCCCCCGCTGTCAGTGGCAATGTGGGCTGGCTGTGTGTCTCCTTGGATGCAGAGGGCCCTGTGCAACAGCACAGTTCAGCTGTCTTGCCACTGGTTCCAGAGGGCTGCACTTCTGGCCCCAGCTCTGCCTTCACTTTCAAATCAAAGAGTGGGGTTGGGGGATCTGAAGAGATGACTCCTCACACCCACCAATACGCCTCCGAGAGGAGAATGGCAGGAGGGCTGTGCACTGTGGTTGATGGCGCTGGACTAGACATTGGAGTGAATTCACGTCACATGGATCTTGCTCAGTGACACTTGGAGATCTGCGGGGGAGAAGACCTCAAAACTCCACGTGGAGATCCTGAAGCCTTAGGTTGTGGGGCGATCCTAGACACACATATTCCAGCATCTGCTCATTTCCAGCCCCCGAGCCAGCCTTTTCTCTCACTCCTCACTGTAGCGCTGGGAATAAAACAAATCTAAAAAGGAAACTAGGTTGAAGAAATGAAATAAAATTTCTTGCCGTTAATTCTTCCAGAGGCACAATGTGCTGGGTGGGAGGGGAAAGGAATCGCTTCTGAAAAGTGTCAGTGTTCGGAGATTTTACTCTTGGTTTAGTCTGGTTGATTTTTTTGACCCGCTCGCCCAGTGTTCTGGGCTCATTCGCATGTAGGGCAATATGTTTAAGCCTGAATTCCTCAAGGTCAGAGTCACTGAGTACCAATAGCCCCCCAGTACACAATGGAGACAGGGTTGCCTAGTGGATACTGACTGTTACACTAGCCTGTTGGGTGACCTTAGACAAGTCATTACCTTGTGTTGGGCCTCAGTTTCCCCATCTGTAATGGGGGCGGGGGGTAATGGTACTGATCTCCTTTGCAAAGTACTTTGAGATCTATGGATGAAACGTGCTATAAGAACTAGATATTAATTATTTATGAGAGCTTTGAGTGCCCAGATCTCTGAAAATCAGGCCAATATAATCAGGTGCCTAAATACAGACTATGTTGCCTAAGAGGAGGAACCGCGGTTTGTAAATGTTGCCTCCTTGTAAAGTAGCAATTAGGTAGTGGGATCAATGTCCAAGGTGATCCCATGAGAGCAACAGGAATTTTGCCATTGACTTTTCTCAGCCTGATTGTCTTGATTGTATCCAGTATAGTGAGAAAACCAACCAAGCCTGAACTAACCAGATATTCCAGCCCACCTAACGTTCAGAAAGGGACTGATGTACAAACTTCACATC